CGTCTGGCTGTCTGCCCATCTACCGCCTCTTTGTCCTGTTTGCTCCGTTACTCCCATGCCCTGGTGCGTAGTACCTGGTGCTGGTACGTTACCCTTTGATTTTTTCTTTGGGCGGGTGTGGGAAGCGTCCTCCTTTGTTTTTGTTTTTGTTTTATTTTGATCAGATTCCGAGGGCTCTTTTCTCGAACAGTCGGTGCGATACCTGTTCTTTTCTTTATATCATTTTGTTTTCTTTTTCCGAGTGGTTTGTACCTTATTTTTGTTGTTTCCCCGCGGCGTCGTATGTGCCGGGTTTTGAGACCACGGGCTCCCCATTTTTTGTGGACTTTAGAGCTAATGTGAGAAACAACAACAAACAACAACACATCATCTGTAGAGTTTCATATTGTTGTTGCTGTTTTCTTCACATTCACATGGATGCCAATGATACCTGCCTGTGTCATTAGCACGTTTTCCTCGAGCAACATAACGCGATAGTAGTACTGCTGTAGTGATGTACCTCCCCTGTGGGTACTGACTGACTCAAAAACACATTTTGGTGATACATATGCGAAGCGTATTACTGCATACGCGGGGGCAAGCAACGACAGACGAAGCTGGCGGTTCCACTCCGCCAGCAGCGCAGTTCGATGTTCCAAGAAATGCATATCCCGCACAGGTTGCCACGATATTACACGATATTACACGATATTACACCTGGACCGATTTTCGATTTTCGAAGCTCGATTGTTCCACGAACAAGAAGATGCCGAAACCAAAGGATATATTTTCGGAAAGCTCTCGAAGAGACGGTTCCAACGCCGCCATTCTTGGCGCCGTCACTGATTTTCCTGCCGAGTAAATCGAGCTTCGAAATATCGGTCCAGGGGATGTGCTATGATACGCAACCTACAAAGTAGGGTCCGCATATCCATTCCGAGGTTTCATGAAAAAAACAACCTCTTTTCCCTTCCTTATCTTCCAAGGGTGTTCTTTTCCAAGCACCGGGAAACAAGAACATGAAAATGCCAAGAAACAAGAAGCCTTTCGGAAACTCGGGTGCATCCCGTAAGGATAACTCGACTTCGATTCAGCACGGCGAGCGGGGTGCTCCGGCAAGTAAAATGAGAACAGTTCTGCCACGCTGACCGCCGCAGCTGTGTGTGAACTGCTGTGCGGATGAGCGTATACATGTGCCGACCAGGACATGGACTAATCAAATCAATCATTTACACGGCTTGGCTGCTGATGCACGCAAAAACGTTCGGTGGTCTCTCACCTCATGTTCTCTCGCTGGTCTTCGGCCTCTTCCACCCCCCTGCCGGCACCATCTCCCCAGCCAACAAGCGCCCTCCGTATCCTTTCCGCACCGAGCGGCATCCCCTCGCCCCCCTGAGATCCCCCATGCATTGCTGTTTCAGCTGCATTTTCGCCATGCCTTGCTCGGGGTAGCACAGCAGGGGCACCCCCTCCACCAGCCCTCACCCGAGCGTCGTTAGCGACAGCAGCAGCAGCAGCAGCAGCAGCAGCGGAGCCAGCGAGGAGCAGGGTCAAGCTGATCGCCAAGAGGCGATGATTTGCGGGAGATCTTCCTCGTCGTGGATGAAGTTGATTCCACACGTTGCGGTCGCCACCGGCGGTGGTCATGCCGCTTAATTTGCGGATTGGCCTTGTTCGTCTTGCGCAGTCCCGCGGTCTACCCGTCGACCCTCCCATCGCCCCCAAGGATGCAGGCGTGATGTAGAACGGTTGCAGACACGCGAGGACTCGCTGCCGCCGGCGGTGATGGAGAGGTCAGAGGCGAGGGGAAGGGTCAAGAAGGTTGAACTCGATTGTGACAGTGTAACAAGCTCTCCGCTCGATTCCTTTCCTGGTCCTCTCTGTTCCACCTAGAAATCTCTCTCTCTCTCTCTCTCTAATTTCTCGAACGAGAGAAAGTTACCGCCGATTTCCCTGCTGACAAGCACAACTCCAGAGTTGCAGCCTTGTGTGGCCGACCGGCAACAAAATACAAGTATCACAATGGGCGCGTGTCACCCAGTGTCACCTGGCCGGGGGTGACGCAGAATCAATACACGGTAGCGGATACATTTCTTACAAACCACCACCAGACCACCACAACTGCTTTTCCAGCACACAGCACAGCAGCAGAGGAGGCTTGACACATCATGACGAGGGTACGAGGAGACAATGAGCTGCTGGAGCTCCTTGGGATCATGGGTGGAGATAATGGCGAGCAAGACGCAAAAACTCCTGCAGAAACCAGCCGTGATACGAGGTGCATTTTTTGTTTCTCTTGGCGTCCCGCTCTCGAGAAAACATGACAGTCCCGTGTGTACAGGACAAAATGCCCCCCGTGTGTATTTGTATGCAGAGATGCAGAGCCGCCCGTGCGCGGCGCTCTTCCCACCACGAGAAGAACCCGCCCTCTCCACAGCATGTCCGTGGAAAAATCGTTGCGTGGAAGGATGAGAGGACAAACTGACTTACGCTCCATCCGACATGCAAGACGTGACCTGATGGCTGTGTTCCACCGTCGATGGTTGACGACTTGCCCAGCTTGGTTTGGGTGGGGGAGCATTGCTAGAAATCGCAACGTACTCATGAGCCGCATTTCCCCTTGCTTGTCCCACCTACACCTCTACCCCACGGGACTCTCCTTCTCTCTCTCTCTCTCGTGACACCAAAATATTTCCTGCCATGTTTGTGCGGAAAGGACACACCCGGCACCGGCGGCGGGCGAGTTCGCGTGCGTTCCCGAGACGGGCTGGAATAGCTCCATATGGAACCCCCACGTCTTCGAGCCAGCCGCAGCCGCCACTGGTTTTGGCGTTGCCAGTCGAACCGGGGAGGGGGTCAGGAGGGTCGTGTCTCCGCAGGAGGAGGTTTTGCGGCAGCAGGCCGTCGCGATCGTTTTCTCTAGGTTTCAGGCAAGAAGGAAAACGAGAGGCGCTTGTGATTCTTGTCTGCTGCCTGCTACACCTACAGCAGTAGCTGGTGGCTTATTTAGGTTGCTCCGAGAGTTGGGGGGACAGGGAGGGGGCGCAAAGGACCGAGAAATCCCAGGAAATCCTTGCGTGGTGCTGCGCGCTCAGGGCCTGATGATATACGCAAGCCTCTGCAACGGTACGAGGTTTGGATCCGAACGTTCAGCGATCAGGAACATGAGACTAGTTTGATATTTTTTCCGCGTGCGGTCTCCTCCCGACGATAGACCGAGGAGGAGCGGCGAAGCCGCCACCTCGTTCCCTCTGCGCCGTCGTCGGGTACTATCAGCTCCCCTCGTGCTTGGTGTCTGCTGCGTAGCGCATTTTTACCTTGCTGTTGGCAAGGTTTGTTGCCTTGGATTCGGTCCCCTCTAGCCAGCCCACAACGGCCGCGGGACTCTGGCTTTTCAGACCCCAAGACCAAGCAGCGGTAGTCTCACTCCAGCGGTGACCGCTGTTGCCTTTGTCCCCCCGGAACACGGTGTTCTACCCCATGCTTCCCCCGCCATGCAGGTGCTCGGAAAGGAGCTCGGAATCCGTGTAAAGAACGAGATGTTCGAGCGGTGGCAGTTCAGCCGGAAGCTCAAGGAGGGCAGGGGAGGGGACCCAATTCTGCCGGCCGAGTCGTTCTTTGACCCAGGCTTGGACGCGGAGCTGCAAGCGTTGGGGGTGCACAAAGCGCAGTCGAGGAACCTTTGCTGCGAGCTCGGGCGGGCCTCCAAGTCCGCCCTCAAGACCCTCAAGAAGCAGGTGGCTGCCTCTATGCCTGTGTGGCTGTAGGCCTGTCTGTGTGCGTCTCCCTGCGGGTATGTCTGCGTCTGTATCTCTTTCCCCCCCTCTCCCCCTCTCGCTCTTTCTGTCGTGCTCGTTGTCTGTGTACGTTTCTCTCGTTCTCTCTATCCCTATCTTTCCACGTGCCCTTACTCTCATCTCTATCTAGTATTATCTCTCCCTGTGCGCGACTTGTGCGGGAGGCCGGACAAGCTCCATCCATGATGCCACTTCTCTATACATGATATCACTTCTCTATGACGACAACATAGCAGCATGCCGCAGAAGAGAAGAACCATACGTAAAATAGGGACAGAGACGGCCACGCATTTGCTAAACCTACGCACACAAACCCATGCGCGAAGCAATCGAGTTCGACAGCAGCAGTAGCTGTGCCCCAACATTGTAAGCGATGCCCAAAACGGTGGATATCAACGTTTGCCCATCGTCACCCCCCTTGCCAGCTTCGGGGCGTGGTCAACGGGCCGGCGGCTCCGGTATTGGCGCCGTCAAAAAGGGTGGCCGCTAGGAAGCTTGATGGCAACACATACGTGTTGCAGCTGGGAAAAAACAAGTGAGTCGAGAGGAGAAACAGGTGTTGATGATGTATGAACTACGAGCAGTATTTTACATCCGAGAACCGATTGAGTGAGCGGGTGTTTGGCACGATGCAGCACGTGTAAGCGGAAAGTGCTGCTTTGTTGGGTCATCTTGTTCTCGTCGACAGCTATTCGATGGCGCGCGCTCGCGCGAGGGCTTCACGGTCGCCGGAGCAACCTCTGGTGGCATGCTTCGGGGGGGGGAGGGGGTTGTGCAGATTGCGATGGTTCTGTTGTATGTGATAGTGGTGTCATTGCTCTTGTCGTGGACGGGTGGAATGTGATGGTGTTTCTGCAGCTGCTTGTGCCGCGTGCCGCGTCTCCGCTTCTCTGCGACTTGTGATTCTCGTTGTTCTAGTAGCTGGAAGTCGCCCGTCCGTATGTTCTTCGCCCGCAAGCTCGCCTGTAGTCGTCCTCCCCACCCCCAATGGCGCGGAATACGCGGTTGGCATGGACGCCCCCCCCCCCCCCCCCCGCGCCGCCATATACCGCACCACGACCCGTGCAGGCTGCGCATGAACAGCGCCCACTACGACAAGATGAAGGAGCTGTTCAGCCGATCTCGCGTGGAGGGGGCCGCTAGATGGCAGTCCTCTTCGACGGAGCACCCACCTCCCGCCTGGATAGGCGACTTCCACGACTGCCTGTTCTCGTGCCTCATGAGGTACGAGGCGCTGCAGGTGAGTTTCAAATCTTGGAAGGAAGTTCGTGCCGCCGGTTGTTGTGGCGGTTATCTTTCTTACGTTTGGGGNGGGGGGGGGGGGGGGGGGGGGGGGGGGGGGGGGGGGGGGGGGGGGGGGGGGGGGGGTTCAGGCGGGGTGATGGTTGCTGCAAGCGGCAAAGATCGACATGCCACCACCGGCAACGACGAGGACGGTGTACCAACAAAGACCACGGTTAAGATTTTGTGCCGCCAGCCGCACACTCAACCCTTGCCAGTCCAAGATGGCGCACCCGTCGGGATATGTTAATCTCCGTCTCAGTTTTATTGCGGACCGTTTTCTTTTTCTTTTTTTTAATTTGCCCTCTACAATCGTCCAGGTTTTGGTGGTAATGTTCTTGATCGTTTGGTTTTTTCGTTGTTTGCTTAGCTTGCTGCTCTCGTTCTTTATCTTGCTGCAGTGTGCTTTGTGTGGCATACCGCGCACGCTCTCTTGCTTCTTTCTTTTCTGCATGATCTTGGTCTGGGTTTGGTTCGCTTTCATGTGGATGGTGTCCTTCTTTTTTCTCTCCTCCCGTCCAGCCGTTTTGTTTTCTTCCTATATTTCGACAAAGTCCACGCTTGCCGACGCAATCGCATTTTTCACTTGCTCATTGTTTTTCCTTTTCGTGCTTGGCGCTTCTTTCCCTACCATCGTTGCTTGCTTCGCGCTTTCGTCTTTTCCACTCTGTCCGCGTTGGACGATGCATGGGTGCGGGTGGAAAGGGCGGGGGCTTTCAGGCCTCCATGGGGGGCGATGCTTTCGACGTCCTGCTGAAGCGCTTCGGCGCGAGGATGGAGTGCTTCGCTTCGCCCTTCAATTGCCGCTACTCGCGATACTGCAGCGCCTTCCCCGACACCGACGGGCCTTTCGGCAGGTGCGGGCGAAACGCATTCCCAACAGCCTGCTGGAAACAGCAGTGTGTGTCTTTTCTCTTGTCTCCGGTAACAAGACATTTGAGGCGGGAATTAATTTCTCTTCCCTATTTCTCCGGTAGCAGGATATGTTGGGTAGGTGTTTTGCTGAATCCTTTGTTTCTGTGTTGCCAGAAGCGAGGTCGTTGATTCTCTGTCTCCCTTTTTGTTGGGATCGTGGAACCGTAGCTACCTTGTCGGCGTGGGGTGGGTCTGAACGGATGTTAATTTGACGTCAGAATACACGAACCACAACAGCACGCCTGAAACGATTTGAATGAGCCGCCACGAGTACAGCAGCAGCAGCAGCAGCAGCAGCAGTAGCAGCAGCAGCAACAGCAACGGCAACAGAAGCAGAAGCAACAAGAGCGGCACCAGCACCAGCACCTAACAGCCACGACCACTCTTGTGATGCTAGCAGCGTGAGAAGGGCCTTAGTCGGACGGAGCGTACGAAACAAACCCTACCCCCTTGCGTCCTTCCCGTCGTTGCACCTGTCAATCCGTTTGAACGTTGCCTCCTGGATATCTGTGCGTGTGCTGGCGAGAAGCGTGGGGAGTTTCTTCGACTTTCAGCCTACGGAGGGAGCTTACCAGGCCAATCCCCCCTTTGTTCGAGACGTTATCCTGAAGATGGCCACTCATATGGATGGCCTCCTGCAGGTAATTTCGGCCTTTCACCACTTCGAACTGCACAGGGAAAATAGTAGGTCACCGCTGAATCGCTTGCGAAACCGTTCTGATTTTTCTCCGTCGATACGGAAATATCCGAATTGAATCTTCTGTGTTCATTGGCGAAACGCACAAGTTTGGTACTGGGTGTTTCCTGAAGGTATGCGTTTCGGACTATTACGGTGGCACATAATTAGTGGGAACAATTTTTTGCTTTTTTTGGCGACAGTATTTTTTTCTCTCAAGCAGTGTTAAAAAATATTCTTGGACAGCTGGAAACAAGCACTACTGCCCAGAGGCTTTATACGAAATCTACAGCACGGTTAGCAGACCTACCACACATCAAATGAAACACGGAAACCACAGCTTTCAAATGAGCCGGGTCTTGCTCTCATCAGACAACCATAAGGTACAGCAGTTGCCGGCGAATATAGGGTACTTTTTCACTACTTTTTTGTGCGGGCCTGAAAAAAAAACAGAACGGATGCGAATTAGCCATGCATGTAAAACTTTTTGGAAACCCTATGATTTCGCGCACGCGCACATCAGACCAGCGTTGGACACAACGCAGCCGTTGTCGAGTACTGCACGCTCAAAGAGGGGCCTCTCAGCTATCGGCCGATGGCGAAGCCGAAGGGCAGGAGGCAGCCAACTGGTGGTGTAGTTGGACGCCCTTCCAAGTCGGACAAGAGAGCCAAAACAGCAGCAGCGAGAGGTCCGTTGGCCCAGGAGAGACTCCAAGCTGAGCTCGAGCAGCAACGTGCAGCGCTCGCGGCGGACAGAGCAGAGATGGCGCAGAGGGAGCAAGCGCTCAGAGCGAAGGAGGCTGCGTTCGCCAAGAAGGAGCAAGAAATGGCGCGCGCCGCTGCACAGCGGGAAAAGCGTGAGCAGCAGGAGGTTGAGCGCGTACAAGCAGCAGCTGCTGCTGCGGCGGAGAAGGTTGCTCAGGGCCTGGACTACATGGACACATCTGTGCACGAGGTGAAGCCGAAGAAGGGCGAGGTCTGGACCCAGTTGCAGTCAAGGATGGTCCTCATGCTACTCTTCGACCTCCGCAAGGAAGGTTGCTCTGAGAACGAGGCGGTGTTGCAGGTCAGTACACAGCAGTGAAGGTCGGATGGTGTGGCACAGCAGCAGGCCGATGTCTTTTTTAAATATTCATCTTGATCAAAGAGGGGTAACGGTTGGTTTTTGAATCTATACTCCGGAATATGTGCTGTACACCCTATTTTTGCTGCCAACAGCAGTATGTTCATGTGTGGTGTGTGTGTTTTCGTTGCATTTATGTCGGGCGCGAGCCTTTGCCGTTCGTTACACGGTTGACTCACCTGTCTACGTCACACAAATATTCAGCAGGAATACATTGTACTGTTGTACAGCAGTTCTTTACAGCAGTACTTTACAGCACCTGAGCAGGCTTGCATGTGCGATGTCTCTCTGTGCAATGTCCAAGTGAACTGACCTTATTCATAAACGATGTTGCAATATTTTCTCTTCTCTGGACCTCTCTATGCTGGCAGGTTGCGCGCACTTTCAAGATCGGCCACGACAAGGTCAGACGCATCAACAACCACTGGTGGGATCACCGCCAGTTGTACGAGACCACCGCCGTGGGGAGAGGCAAGACGGCAAAGAAGGATGATGGGCGACGCCGCCTCACCGAAGTACAAGAAGATCAACTTCGCGAGTTCATCAATGACGAGCACAAGGCCGGTCGTCAAGTCTTTCGCCGCACGGTGGCAGAATGGATGCACAGGACTTGCAACATGGAGCAGCCGTCCAACCGTTCGGCAGGAGGGCTGCTGAGTAGGCTCGGCTACAAGCGTCGTAGAGGCAGGATCAAAACGCCACCGTTAAACGCCGAAAGACTTGCTCGCATTCGTCGGTTTCTTGTTGAGATGGTCATGGCAAAGAGGGCAGAGGATGCTGGGTTAGCAGTGATCGTGTACATGGATGAGAGTTTTGTCCACCAGGCTCATGGTTCCCCCTATTCTTACTTTCCTTCGGACGACGATGGAGTTGTGCAGGATGGGATTGGTCGCACAACGGGGAAGGGCTTGCGCATGATCATGGTGCATGCAATCACGAAGTGGGGGCCGTTGGCTAAGCTTTGTGATGGGTTACCGATCGAAGAGGGCTGGTTCAAGGAAACGGGTAGCGGCAAGAAGGAAATGGAAGATGAGGAGACAGCAGAGTTTCTGTGGCAGGCTAAGTTGGCAAAGGGCGATTACCACGCAGCAATGACCGACTCGATGTTCATGGAGTGGCTTGAACACCGCCTTAGCCCTGCGTACAACGCGATCCCGGAGTTCAAAGGCAAACGGATGATTCTTGTTCTTGACAACGCCTCATACCACCATGGATTTGACGCGGAAGTCAAAGTGCCGGAAACCAACACCAAGAAGCACAACGTCGATCTGTTGCGTATGTTTGGGGCCAAGTCGATCAGGGTTAGGCGTAAGGAGGGCGAACAGGGCGTTGTTGAGTACAACTTCGAGGTACCGACAGAGCCTGGTTCTTCATTCCCTGCAGGGAACAGGGAGGGCGGTGTAAGCAGAGCGGAGGTAGCAACGGCCACTCGGGAGTACATCCACCTCAATCACCCTGAAAGGCTCGAGGAACGGGTGGTGACGTTCATGAGGAAAAAGGGGTGGGCGTTGATTTGGACGCCGCCCTACATGCCGTCCTTTCAACCGATCGAGATTTTTTGGCAGCATGGTAAGCAGCACGTCAGCCTTAACTTTGAGTTGAAGCGAGAGATGCGGGAGGTGTGGGTGCAGATTCGTAAAGGTTGGTACGGGGACAAGGAATGGCCAGGCCAGGAGGGGGGGTGGAAGGCAGCCGATTGTTCGAAGCTGGTTGACCACGCCATTGGAGAGATGAATAAGTGGGTCAAGGACCGTGATGGAGTGCTTTCTGGTACGATAGGCAGCCTCGAAAAGCCGGACGGGTACGATACAGATGATGTGTCGCCCGTGGGTGATGTCGAGGAAGGGGTAGGGGAGCAGATCCAGCAGGAAAGCGCAGAATGGGGTGATGGCAGCGACGAGGTTGAACCATGATGAGATTTTTTTCAGCCTTGTGATCAATTGCTACACCCATGCACTGGGTGTACCATGTTCCAACAGCACACATGTGTGATTGCTGTGCGCGGGGGGTTGCGTCCCTGCTTCCAGCTGCTGCAGTTGTAGAAAAAAAAAAATCAAAAATATTCAATTGTCGACAAGTCTTACCCCGGATGCAGCTTGCCACACGTCAACTGCATTCATGTTCTATCTTCTTGCGTATTGACCGCCTTCGTCATGGAAGCGTTTTGCGCTACTGTATGCCGACAGGCGCTTAAAAATGTTGAGTTGCAGGCCGAGAAGTGGGGATACCAATGTTGGCCGCATATTGCTGGGCATTTTTTCCGATTTTGAATATCTGCTCAGGTACACGACAAGCCATAACTCAAGCAATTTGATTTTTTTTTTTAATGTCTTTTTTTCATCGTGACCGCCTTTTCCCTGTCGTCAATTTGCGCTATCGTCTGCTGTGCTGCGCATCGTATTGCGAAAGTTACACTCCGAAACGCATATATTAACTATGTGCCACCGTAATAGTGCCGTCGTTGCCCGTGTCAACATTCTTGTTTGATTTGTTTGGTCTAGCTTGTCGGCAAATCCCAGTCAGGGCATCGCGAAGGGGTTGACAGGCATTAGATGTAGACTCACGCAGCCTCCAGGTGGCCCTTTTCCCGGCTGTGTCATGATAAACCGTACGGTGGTAATAGCGACTGACCTACTCGTGGCGGAAGAGATGCGCGAAATATTCTCGCCTCCCAAAGAGCGTCGTCGGGAAAACTGGGAAGCGCGTTGTATGTAGAGTAGAACCAGGAAAACAGATCCGCGTAGAATTGCTGAGCATTTTGTAGCAACGCGGCTGGGCGATGCGGGTGTTGGAGGCGGTTTTCCCGGCGCATCGTTTGTTTAAGCCGAGCATCTTGGGATTAACCCAATACGCATGACGTGACTGGCATCCTCTCCCTCTCTGTTTGCAGCAGCTTGTCTCCGCCGTTGTCTCATGCTCTACCCGTACCGACGATGGTGGGAACGGGTTCTCAGTGTTGATACATGTGCACTCCCTGGGGTACTTGAACAAGCGAGACATGTCCTGACATGTGTGTAGTCAAATGTAAGAGCTCGGGCACATTAGCGGCCACCCGAGGCCGGAAGACTGCTTCGCGGCGCGCCCGTTCACCCCCCGCCCCCCCCTCCCTCTCTCTCCTGCGCGTTTCGTCTCCCCTTCCGTCACCCAATCTGGTTGCAAACACCCATCTCTCTGTGTGCGTGTTGCTCTCACTGGTGCACGCCCCCCGGAAGGCTACAGCGAAGGCGTTAACCTTTGTGGTCATCATCCCTTGCTGGGAAGATTCCGCGGGGTGGAAGAGGCTACGGGACAGCGCGTTTCTGTCCAAGCACATCAAGCTCCACCAGAAAGGTGAAAAGAATATGACGGGGGTCGTTTTCGTCGTTTTCCTCGGTGGTGTTGCCCGTTCACAGGGGGGAGGTTGTGTCTCTCGGAAAGGGAAAGGTTTCCTCTGTTACATGGTATGTAGCGCGAAGCACGAAGGTGGATATATTGTTCCACGCGGAACGAGTGCTCGCACGACCGAGTGACCTGGAACCTGTGACATTCCCGCTTTTCTTGAGACGGAGAGGGGAGAGGGATGGCGGTAGACTGGTAGTAACCTTCACCGGGGATCGCCACCGAAACCCCGTTAGAGTAACGCCTTCATGGAGGTGCAAGGAATCAATCCTGGCATGTCCGTGAGTGCTTTGGTTTAGTGGCATCCCCTGGCGAGGTGGGGGTTTGACTGAGACCTCTAGCTCACTGGATTGATTCGTTCGTAAATTATGCTGAATGGCAGGCGATGTGTGGCCTCGCTTGCTGCGTGCGAAACGGCGGATAGCACAAGCTAGCTGAATCGTTGCACAAGAATTGTTTTGATGTTTTGTTCGTCCCACTCCGCGCTCTCATCTTGTTATATTCCATAGCCTGGTTAGTAGCCGCCGCCTAGATTTCGACACCAAGCCGATGTTAGAATCAACATTGTAAACACGAAAACACGGCTCGCGCGTGCGTGAGTGCGTGCGTCGCCTCCCCTTCGCCTCTCTTTTCCGGTCCCGGCGCAGACCACGGTTACTGCGAGGGCAAGCAGCATCTGCGGCGCAACCGCTACCGGTTGGCGTCGTTTCACACGAGCGTCTTCTTCCTGCAGACCGAGCCGGCGAGGCGGCAGCAGTCGCCGGAGACACTGGGGCAGGCTTGCCGAGAGCTCGAGCGGGCCTTCGCTCTAAGGCAAGAAGACGCCAGCGGCGGCGGCGCTGCGAGGCACGCCGGCGGCACCGGAGGGGAGGGCGGAAAAAGCGGCCCCTCTTCCTCTTCGGGGCAGGTACTGCGAGAACAAGGAGGCGGGGGAGAAGGGTTGATCGATGACGGAGGGATCGGTGTGAGTGGTACTAGCGATGACGATGACGATGATGATGATGATGACGATGACGGCAGAGACTTCACCGAAACGTCTTCTTCAACGAGCAAGGTCACGGCGAAGCGGCAGCTCGACGAGGCGGGGAAGGCGACGGAAGGAAAAGCACGGGGGGTTGTGAATGCCGGCAACAAGAACCCTGCTTCTGTCGGTAGTGGTGTTGGTGATTTTGGTGCCGCTACCCCTCTACCAAAGGCAGAGAACAATAAAAAACGAGCGAAAGGTAAACGGCGGCGGAACAGCGGCGACGAGGCCGGACGATCGGCACCATCCGCGGGCGGCAGAGAACCGGGTGAACATAGCAGGCCGTTGTTGGACGAGGACGGAAGTGCGGCTGCCGGGTGTAGGGGCGGCGCAGCAGGAGGGGGGAGCATCGGCCTTGCGGAGGATTTGGGCCCTGATCGTCAAGCCAAGAGAGAGTTGCCGTCATCGGTCAAAAAGAAGAAGAAGCGAAAGGTTACTGTGTCAGCGGTGGCGGTGGCGAGGGGAACAGCGAGCGATGCCGAGGGGGACGGCAGCGGGGCCGATCCGGCGGTGGCGCAGGCCGGCGAAGGTACCAGGCTCCTCAGCGAAAACGGGACGCAGAAGGGCGAAGCGGAAGGAACGGCGGCAGCAACGGGAGTAGAGCGCGCGAGGAAAAAGAAGAGAGGCAAACAGAAAAAGAAGAAGTCCCTCTTTGCGTTGTAGATGTACTGGGGGCATCCGCCCCGCTCCACGCTCGGCGAAGAGGGGCGACGCGCCATGAATAATTGGGCACCCTTTTTTTCTCAGTGGGAAAACTGATGGAGAAACTTGATCAGAGCGAGATGAAGGTATTTAGTGTGGGACACGGCAGGTGGACGATCATGTGGTAGGCTTTTTTGTCTCCGGGTGGGCTGCTTGTTATTCCAGAGAACCCGTCGTTCTTATCATTAATACTGCTGTGCTTCGTTTCTTGAGTGTTTGTGTTGGTGCGTCGCGTCCTGCTCTATTGTGTGTTGTCTGCAGTTCGTCGTATTTTCTTCCTGGACACTTTGTATGCCGTCCTTCGCGAAAACTACTCGAGTGTATGCCGGCCCGATACCTGCGTCGGGCAGTCAGTGCCGTCGGCCAAATACTGCACCACGGAAAGATGCAGTATGTCGCAACAACGAGCGACAGCTGGTAGATGTAACTGCCGCCAGCCGTGTGCGTCCACGGGAGGAGTGCGTGTGATGTTGTTGCTCGCTGCGCCAGCTGTGCGTGTGTCGCTGTGCCCGTTGAGCGTTTGTTCTGAACCTGCAGATAGCTGTAATCTCCTGTGTGGTCACATGCAGTCGCTGACCTCCCTTTAAATTCAAGTGATCTGGTCTAAAACCCGGATAAAACGAACAAGCACGCGCAGAAGCTTGTTTTTCTTGATGGAGCGCTAAATTGCGCCAAGACCTCAGGCCAGACTAGAAATCTCGCTTCGCTCAAATAAAAACAGTAGGAGTAGATACAGGCGCGAAGAAGCTGCGGGGAGAGAGAGGCCTTGCGTGCGAAACGGGAGGTCCCGCGCTATCGAAAGAACGCTGGGTCTCTACATGCAACAGCTCAGGCTCATGCCCGATTCCGCACGCGTCCTTGGGTGCTACTTATGCCCTATCCGTTTGAAACGACGAACCATTCTTCATGAAAGCAAAAGCGCTTCCCACGTCGGCTTGTTTACCGTATGACACCCTGCCTACACTCTTTTTACTCTATCGTGCTTCGTGTATCTGCTGCAGCATCTGCCCCCGAAATCGCTGCCCTGCTGCGTGCTTTGCGGTGGAAATTTCGAGACGTTGTCGAGATGGAAACATTGGGCGTATAATAATTTTGGCACGCTGACAACACACACATCAAATCGAAGCCCCGCCACACTCCAAGAGCACGACAGCAACGGCGGTGAACATGGGCGAAAACAACCGGTGCGACACCAGCAATTGCATGACTAGCGTTTCCCGCGCCAGAGCCGTGCCAGACTGGGGGAAGCTGTATTTCTCATTCCCTCATCGCTTGATACCTCTCGCTGGTTTGGCTTCAGGTTCGGCTCGGGAGGGGGGGCCACGAAAGTGGCACGAAAATGCTCACACACCCATGCCGTACTGACCGGTGTGTTTCTTCCATGATTGGGTGACAGAAAAGTCCGCGCGTGTATCGAGAATGCGAAATGCGAGAAAGCGGCGGGACAACGAAAGGGTTAAACGCACTGCCATGCGGTGTGACTCTTACCAGACCCGCCGGCAGGAAAAAAAAACGCTAAAAGCGTTTCTCTCTAATCTGTCTATTCTTCTTATTTTCCGCCACGAAGGAGAGAGCCCACCGCCACAAACAACAACAGCAGTAGTACTGTGGTAGTGGCGCCCGGTGGGGGTCACGTGAGTGCTGGGGCGTAGTCTCGCAACAGTAGCTTTCACACACGAAAGTCACCGGGCCGTTGGGGGTACGAACTACTCGCTACATTCCCGAGCAGGCCCTTCTTGTTGACTCTCACATGATGCCCGCTACATACACAAACACCTTCACCACACTACTAAGCGGGTAACTTCCAACGGAGGCAAAGAGCGGCGGAAAAACCGCTGGCCACAGAACGTCCGCCGATTTTCTCCGCCCCTTTTACATCCCACACGTTACACCCACCCACGCGCACAGGTATAGACCATGCGCAAAACCAACGGAGGGACGAGTAAAAATAATACATCGCGGCGTTGCAGTGTACCGCCCGACTTGCTGCTCCTCGACTCACTACCCTCCCGTCCGACCCCTAGTCTAGAAACTCACACACCACAATTACAACAGTACCAGCTAAGCCGCCCCCCCACAGACGATAAACGCGGGAACTCTCATCACTAGAAATGACGACGACGGTGATCATACATAGGTCATCATCACCCAACTATCCGGCCCAGCTGACGCCGCCCCTGGCTGGCCTCGAAATGGAGGCCGGCGTCCTCCGCCCTCTTGATGGCTCCCTCGAGCTTGCCCTTGTCCTTGCTCATGCTGGCCTCCCGCATCAATGCGACGATCTCGCTTCGTACATCGGGCTCCGGAGGCTGAGAGAGTCAGCCAGACAAAGAATCAGACAGAGAGGGAGGGTGGGAGCGAGGGAAGGAGGAATACTTACTCATAGGCCGAATGTTCACCGTGGGCAACCGTGTGAGCGTCATGAAACACGCACAGGGCGAGGGAGGACACGCTGGGCAATAAGTTCGAAAAATATCACGGGTAGGTTAAGTATAGTATCTACTATTAGTACTGACCCGAGTATTGAGTAAGTATCTGGCCCTATTCGCCCAGTAGAGTAATACTCACACTTTATTACAGCTTTTCATACTCCACTAAAACTTTTGTAAGTACGGCTCTTCAATACTCTACTAAACATCTTTTTGAGTATAGTACGGCTTTTTATACTCTACTCATACTCACTTTATAGTACGGCTTTCATACTCTACTCAACGTACTCTTGCGGTTTAGTACGGCTCTTCATACTCTACTAAACATACTCTTTGAGTTTAGTATGGCTTCCTATACTGTACTATACTATCACTTTAGTATAGCTTCTCATACTCTACTAAACATACTGTTGCGTTTAGTATGGCTGCCCATACTCTACTCAGGCCATAGTACAGCCCGCCATACTCAACTCAGAGTACGTACTACCTTCCACCAACGGGTGTGTTGGTGACGTCACTATTCAGCAGAAAGTAGACAGTCTCGCCGCACAGAGTGGTGGTGGGCTCCAGGCTCCGATACTCGCGCGCTCGCGTACTCAGATACTGGGGTACTGAGGTAGTGGCCCGCAGGGGAGATAGTGGCAGCTGAGCATGAGTGACGCGAGCGGTGGTTCGGCCGCATCTGCTCCCGATGCGGGTGGTTCTCCCGGTACGAGTACCCTCGCACCGGGTTCTTCAACACAAGACGCGCAACAAGACAACGAGGTGGTCGTCGTGCCGGGCTCAACGAGTGNATATTTAGACCGGTGCGGGACGCTTGACGTTCACTGACTGCTATATTTAGACCGGTGCGGGACGCTTGACGTTCACTGACTGCTGTGGCGCTCCTCCACTCGTTGAGCCCGGCACGACGACCACCTCGTTGTCTTGTTGCGCGTCTTGTGTTGAAGAACCCGGTGCGAGGGTACTCGTAAAATAGTTTTAGTTTTAGTTTTAGTTTAGTGGTGATTGGTAAGAACGGAGAGGGAGGGGGCGACGGAGCATCGAGGGGGGGGGGGGTAATATGTTTATGTTTATGTTTATGTTTATCAGCAATCAAATCAACGCTTGTACGGAGTTGTTGTTCTGTCAGTATTGTCAGTACATGAACTGTACTAAGCGTACTGTGGCGTTTAGTATGGCTCTCCATACTGTACTAAACATACTGTGGCGTTTAGNGGGGGGGGGTGTAATATGTTTATGTTTATGTTTATGTTTATCAGCAATCAAATCAACGCTTGTACGGAGTTGTTGTTCTGTCAGTATTGTCAGTACATGAACTGTACTAAGCGTACTGTGGCGTTTAGTATGGCTCTCCATACTGTACTAAACATACTGTGGCGTTTAGTACAGGTCTTCATACTGTACTAAACATACTGTGGCGTTTATTAATAGTACAGGTCTTCATACTCTACTAAGAATACTGTGGCGTTTAGTACAGCTCTTCGTACTCTACTAAAACTTTTGTAAGTACGGCTCTTCAATACTCTACTAAACATCTTTTTGAGTGTAGTACGGCTTTTCATACTCTACTCATACTCACTTTATAGTATGGCTCTTCATACTCTACTCAACATACTCTTGCGGTTTAGTACGGCTTTTCATACTCTACTAAACATACTCTTTGAGTTTAGTACCTAACCTCTGTACTCTACTCATGTGAGTAGAGTATTCACCTCTCTCATACTCTACTCTACTCAACCGTTAGTACAGATTCTCGATACTCTACTAAACATACTCTACTGTACTAAACCCACCCGTGAAAAATATCGCCAAAAAGCGGGGCGCCTCTCTTGTGTAGCGCGCAGATACAGCTGAATGTTCCACCACAATCGCCATCGATACACAAGCTTGCCTCCATCAACAGCAAAAAAAAAGTGTGCCTCCCGCCTTTACCGCCAGGTGGCCGAAACAAAAAAAATGGAAGCTTACCGGCTCCGCCTTGGCAGCCGCCCGCGCCGCTGCCAAGCCCGCCGCTGCCGCCGCCGCGGCGGCTGCCGCGCTTCCCGGGGCCGGCTCCTGCCCGCCCCCTCCCCGCTCGCCGCCTCCGCCCGAGTTGGCGTGACCCCCGCCACGCTGGCTTGCCGCAGTGTTATTACTAGCGCTCGCCACGCCGTTGCCCCGCCCACCTCCTCGCCCGCCCGCCTGCGGCGGCGCCGCGGGGTTTCGATTGTTGGAGGCGGCGGGTGCGGGCCTCGCGCGGGCGGTGTTGCGGGAGTTGTTGCCCGCGGGTCCGGGAGGCGGGGGGCCTCTGTTGGTGCCGGTGGTGGCGATGGTGGCGGCGGCTGCTGATCCCTGCTGCCGGCCCACCTCCATGAGGTGCTGGACGGTGTCCTGTGGGGGTTTGGTTTCGGGCAAAGTCAAGGGCGTGCAGTATATCAACGGCAAAAGCACGGTGTTTGGGGGGGCTGGCGACCAGCGGCAAGCACATTTCCCCGTCTTTTTTCTCCATTTTCGACTTGCGACACACGCTCGTTGTTTGTGCTTGCAGCACCCGATTTATTGGGAGGGCTCAATTGTCGGCTTATCCTTTGGTGCTGTTTTTTGTTCGCCGTTGCTCTGCAGGTTCTTCCCTGCTGCCAGTGATGCTAAAACGGCGTATCGGGGGCTGGCGCAAGTGGGCTCGCAAAATGCATCAAGGTATGCTCATGTCGTTCGACACCGAGCGAGGTACTTCTCAATGTATGGCATCCCATGGACGGGGGTGATGTGTACTCACGCTCAAGGAGAAAAGCCCATCCTTGGTGGGAGTTTGCTTGCGGCCATTTTTTCCATCGCCGAAGGTGACGGTTGACTCCTGTCGGTTGACTCTACCCACATCGTTGGTCTAATCCGAATTTCGGCGCGTCCGGTGCAGGGGTACGTGCTTGCGAACGGCACATTCTTGCCTACAGCGCAACCGAACCTTGCCGTCGTGCGATACATAGTTAATGTGTGACCCAGGCCACTCTCCGGGAAATCATCACCCGCGGTGTAATACCATGATCATGTTCGACCATTCTTCTTTTCCAATATATATGCGGCCGCTAATGCATCTGTGAGAAGCAACCGGAGCGATCTTTGCTGGC